CATAACAGTACAACAACCACCACCATAACAGTACAACAACCACCACCATCACAGTACAACAAGTACCACCATAACAGTACAACAACCACCACCATAACAGTACAACAACCACCACCATAACAGTACAACAACCACCACCATAACAGTACAACAACAACCACCATAACAGTACAACAACCACCACCATAACAGTACAACAAGTACCACCATAACAGTACAACAACCACCACCATAAACAGTACAACAACCACACCATAACAGTACAACAACCACCACCATAACAGTACAACAACCACCACCATAACAGTACAACAAGTACCACCACCATAACAGTACAACAACCACCACCATAACAGTACAACAACCACCACCATAACAGCACAACAACCACCACCATAACAGTACAACAACCACCACCATAACAGTACAACAACCACCACCATAACAGTACAACAACAACCACCACCATAACAGTACAACAACAACCACCACCATAACAGTACAACAACCACCACCATAACAGTACAACAAGTACCACCATAACAGTACAACAACCACCACCATAACAGTACAACAACCACCACCATAACAGTACAACAAGTACCACCATAACAGTACAACAACCACCACCATAACAGTACAACAAGTACCACCATAACAGTACAACAACCACCACCATAACAGTACAACAACAACCACCATAACAGTACAACAACCACCACCATAACAGTACAACAAGTACCACCATAACAGTACAACAACCCCACCACCATAACAGTACAACAACCACCACCATAACAGTACAACAACCACCACCATAACAGTACAACAAGTACCACCATAACAGTACAACAACAACCACCACCATAACAGTACAACAACCACCACCATAACAGTACAACAACCACCACCATAACAGTACAACAAGTACCACCATAACAGTACAACAACCACCACCATAACAGTACAACAACCACCACCATAACAGTACAACAACCACCACCATAACAGTACAACAAGTACCACCATAACAGTACAACAACCACCACCATAACAGTACAACAAGTACCACCATAACAGTACAACAACCACCACCATAACAGCACAACAACCACCACCATAACAGTACAACAACCACCACCATAACAGTACAACAACCACCACCATAACAGTACAACAACCACCACCATAACAGTACAACAAGTACCACCATAACAGTACAACAACAACCACCACCATAACAGTACAACAAGTACCACCATAACAGTACAACAAGTACCACCATAACAGTACAACAACCACCACCATAACAGTACAACCACCACCACCATAACAGTACAACAAGTACCACCATAACAGTACAACCACCACCACCATAACAGTACAACAAGTACCACCATAACAGTACAACCACCACCACCATAACAGTACAACAACCACCACCACCATAACAGTACAACAACCACCACCACCATAACAGTACAACAACCACCACCACCATAACAGTACAACAACCACCACCATAACAGTACAACAACCACCACCATAACAGTACAACAAGTACCACCATAACAGTACAACAAGTACCACCATAACAGTACAACAACCACCACCATAACAGTACAACCACCACCACCATAACAGTACAACAACCACCACCATAACAGTACAACAACCACCACCATAACAGTACAACAACCACCACCATAACAGTACAACCACCACCACCATAACAGTACAACAAGTACCACCATAACAGTACAACCACCACCACCATAACAGTACAACAAGTCCCACCATAACAGTACAACAAGTACCACCATAACAGTACAACAACCACCACCATAACAGTACAACAAGTACCACCATAACAGTACAACCACCACCACCATAACAGTACAACAACCACCACCATAACAGTACAACCACCACCACCATAACAGTACAACAACCACCACCATAACAGCACAACAACCACCACCATAACAGTACAACAACCACCACCATAACAGTACAACAACCACCACCATAACAGTACAACAACAACCACCACCATAACAGTACAACAACCACCACCATAACAGTACAACAAGTACCACCATAACAGTACAACAACCACCACCATAACAGTACAACAACCACCACCATAACAGTACAACAACAACCACCACCATAACAGTACAACAACCACCACCATAACAGTACAACAACCACCGCCATAACAGTACAACAACCACCACCATAACAGTACAACAACCACCACCATAACAGTACAACAACCACCGCCATAACAGTACAACAACCACCACCATAACAGTACAACAAGTACCACCATAACAGTACAACAACCACCACCATAACAGTACAACCACCACCACCATAACAGTACAACAACCACCACCATAACAGTACAACAACAACCACCACCATAACAGTACAACAACCACCACCATAACAGTACAACAAGTACCACCATAACAGTACAACAACCACCACCATAACAGTACAACAACCACCACCATAACAGTACAACCACCACCACCATAACAGTACAACAAGTACCACCACCGCAACAAAATAAACTTTACCATGAGTTAATAATGGTAATAATGTTTTCTCACAAACATAATAACATAGGATAAAAACCCACACATTTGTATTTGTGAAATATATGTCAAGAATTTACTCCAAGTCTTTCTCACTCTCCTGAGTGCTTGGTCAAGGTGTGAGTGTGTGGTGAGGACGAGACTAACATCTCAACGGGTGATGGGGAGGGCTGGTTACCTTGAGATGCTTCCGGGGCTTAGCGTCCCCGCGGCCCGGTCGTCGACCAGGCCTCCTACTGGGCTGCCCCAGTCTTCAGGAGGGACAGTGAGGTCAGGTGACGCGTCGTGTAACTCACCTGTGGTCAGGCGGGAGAGCGAGGTGGTGCGCCTGGCAGGGAACGGTGTGGATGTTGACCTCGGCGCCAGCGTCCTGCAGCTCGCGTATTCTCTGCACCAGAGACTCGGCAATTTCTGTCTCGTGCTCCTTGTGCAGCCTGAAGGCGCGCTGAGGGGCACAGTGATGGTTAGCTCGGTCACACGGCTTACTGTAGGTTATTGTTAATGCTGGCGGTGAGTCACAGTAACAACACCCCTAGCCACCCTGGCCTCCACACTATACTCTCCCCACCCTGGCCTCCACACTGTACTCTCTCCACCCTGGCCTCCACACTGTACTCTCTCCACCCTGGCCTCCACACTGTACTCTCTCCACCCTGGCCTCCACACTGTACTCTCTCCACCCTGGCCTCCACACTATACTCTCTCCACCCTGGCCTCCACACTGTACTCTCTCCACCCTGGCCTCCACACTGTACTCTCTCCACCCTGGCCTCCACACTGTACTCTCTCCACCCTGGCCTCCACACTGTACTCTCTCCACCCTGGCCTCCACACTGTACTCTCTCCACCCTGGCCTCCACACTGTACTCTCTCCACCCTGGCCTCCACACTGTACTCTCTCCACCCTGGCCTCCACACTGTACTCTCTCCACCCTGGCCTCCACCCTGGCCTCCACACTGTACTCTCTCCCCCCTGGCCCCCACACTGTACTCTCTCCCACCCTGGCCACCACACTGTACTCTCTCCACCCTGGCCTCCACACTGTACTCTCTCCACCCTGGCCTCCACACTGTACTCTCTCCACCCTGGCCTCCACACTGTACTCTCTCCACCCTGGCCTCCACACTGTACTCTCTCCACCCTGGCCTCCACACTGTACTCTCTCCACCCTGGCCTCCACACTGTACTCTCTCCACCCTGGCCTCCACACTGTACTCTCTCCACCCTGGCCTCCACACTGTACTCTCTCCACCCTGGCCTCCACACTGTACTCTCTCCGCCCTGGCCTCCACACTGTACTCTCTCCACCCTGGCCTCCACACTGTACTCTCTCCACCCTGGCCTCCACACTGTACTCTCTCCACCCTGGCCTCCACACTGTACTCTCTCCACCCTGGCCTCCACACTGTACTCTCTCCACCCTGGCCTCCACACTGTACTCTCTCCACCCTGGCCTCCACACTGTACTCTCTCCACCCTGGCCTCCACACTGTACTCTCTCCACCTTGGCCTCCACACTGTACTCTCTCCACCCTGGCCTCCACACTGTACTCTCTCCACCCTGGCCTCCACACTATACTCTCCACCCTGGCCTCCACACTGTACTCTCCACCCTGGCCTCCACACTGTACTCTCCACCCTGGCCTCCACACTGTACTCTCCACCCTGGCCTCCACACTGTACTCTCCACCTTGGCCTCCACACTGTACTCTCCACCCTGGCCTCCACACTGTACTCTCTCCACCCTGGCCTCAAAATTATACTCTCTCCACCCTGGCCTCCACACTGTACTCCCCACCCTGGCCTCCACACTATACTCTCTCCACCCTGGCCTCAAAATTATACTCTCTCTCACCCTGGCCTCCACACTGTACTCCCCCCACCCTGGCCTCCACACTATACTCTCTCCACCCTGGCCTCCACACTATACTCTCTCCACCCTGGCCTCCACACTGTACTCTCTCCACCCTGGCCTCCACACTATACTCTCTCCACCCTGGCCTCAAAACTATACTCTCTCCACCCTGGCCTCCACACTGTACTCTCTCACCCTGGCCTCAAAAACTATACTCTCTCCACCCTGGCCTCCACACTGTACTCCCCACCCTGGCCTCCACACTATACTCTCTCCACCCTGGCCTCCACACTGTACTCTCCACCCTGGCCTCCACACTGTACTCTCCACAATGGCCTCCACACTGTACTCTCTCCACCCTGGCCTCAAACTATACTCTCTCCACCCTGGCCTCCACACTGTACTCCCCACCCTGGCCTCCACACTGTACTCCCCACCCTGGCCTCCACACTGTACTCTCTCCACCCTGGCCTCCACACTGTACTCTCCACCCTGGCCTCCACACTATACTCTCTCCACCCTGGCCTCCACACTGTACTCTCCACCCTGGCCTCCACACTATACTCTCTCCACCCTGGCCTCCACACTGTACTCTCCACCCTGGCCTCCACACTATACTCTCTCCACCCTGGCCTCCACACTATACTCTCTCCACCCTGGCCTCCACACTGTACTCCCCACCCTGGCCTCCACACTATACTCTCTCCACCCTGGCCTCCACACTATACTCTCTCCACCCTGGCCCCCCACACTATACTCTCTCCACCCTGGCCTCCACACTGTACTCCCCACCCTGGCCTCCACACTATACTCTCTCCACCCTGGCCTCCACACTGTACTCCCCACCCTGGCCTCCACACTATACTCTCTCCACCCTGGCCTCCACACTATACTCTCTCCACCCTGGCCTCCACACTGTACTCCCCACCCTGGCCTCCACACAGTACACTCTCCACCCTGGCCTCCAGCCTGGCCTCCACGGCACCTTACCTCCAACTCCACCTTCTCGTCCATGAGGTGGTCGCCTCGCATCTCGAGCTCGACGATGCGTGCTCTAAGCTGGTTGATCAACCGCTGGTTGGCCTCGGTGTCGTCGTCGGCAGGCGCGGGGTGGCCGCCGGCCTCGTCGCGCGGGGTGCTGCTGCTGCCAGTGGTGTCCTTCATGATGATGGTGACCTGGCGGTGCAGCTTCTCTGTGGG